TTGTAATTTGTTGCCGGCTCGGTCCGACACCAGCCTGCACCACATGCCCAGTGGGAACGGCTCCCCGGTGTCCACAGTGACTGGGTAGGCGGAGGCGACGTCAGGAGTAACACGAAGCACGATTGTAGTCCGGTGCCCGCGCGGATTGAACAGCACAAGCGCACGCGAGAAATACTCGATTGTATCACCAGCGGACAGAGGCGCCGAGGGTAGCTGTGAGGCGCTAAGGCCTACCATGCCTGAGGCGGAGATGCTGGAGGGAGCCGAGCGCTGCGACGTCGCGCAGTTGGTGCGGCGGGTTCCGGTTTGAAAAAGAAGCTTTCATAAGTAGCTTTAAATAAGAGCTACTTTCACTTAGACCTACTTCGAGCTTTTGGCACTACTTGTGGGGCGTCATCACCTAAGCAGATGCGACCTGTAGCACAAGCGCTGTGCATTTAAAAGGGCCAGATTCTGGACAGCGTCTCTGTTTCTTTTGTGCTGGAGTTGTTGTTTTGATCAGATCCTATCGGGTGTTTATAACGTTTTCTCCAAATTGGACAGCGTGCTGTTATGCGTACTGCAGCTGAGCAGACAAGTATGGATAACCTTCCATAATGGAAGGATAGATCTACCAGCGCTTATGCTGGAAGACAGCCCTTCGCGGCGTACTCCGTGGCAGCACTGCTTGTGCAACTGTACCTCCAGATTCCGGTAGCCGAGTCGACTTATGTCAGGCTGAAGCTTGATCATTAGGACCAAAAGCCGACTTATAATTGAAAAAAAAAGTTTACACCCTGAAGACGCTATTCAGTGACCAGACCAAGGCGATTAATGTAATCAAAATTTAGGGCTACTTAAAAAAACCTTCTGTAAGGGCTGCGATTTGCAACACGGCTTACCGTTAGTTTAATAAATACCATTCCAGTTTTAGCGATAAGCCCTAAAACTATATTTCAGTGTATCACAAGCCTTGGTCAGGTATGACACTGCGTAACTTGATCAATATATCGGGAAGCTGGTAGGCGACCTGTACCGATCAATTGGATTTTGTTTTTGTAGAATCATATCATTTATAAAGGGCTAAAGAGGTCCTCACATTTATTTCATATTTTAATACATTAAATATTTTTAAAAAATAGATTTTTTTTATAAGCAATACCATGCGGCTCATGATGTGCGGTTGCATCGTATAATACTTGTAAGTATTGTACATGTACAAGTGCCAACCTGTTTACTGTACTTTCGGGAAGTACAGTAAAGTCTTTCCGTCTTTGCTGCTGTTACATGTTATACCACTGGTATTACCAGGGATGGCATATCCCCAGGTGTTTGCCCATTTTCCCAGGGAATCCTGCTGGGAATTGAGTGGGAATTGGACTTTTTTGTACTGGTACCTTGCATAAATGCCGCGAAGTTCAGTGCTGTTTAATCTTGGTTAAAGTAAGCTTAAGCAAGTTATCGGTACCAAATCGGTGAATATCGATTTGATGTGATAGCCAGCTATTCCCACTTTGGGGTCAGACGAGACTGCGAAAACCCGCATTTGACAAGGACATGGCCGTTGACAAGTACATTGGGACATGGTTGTCAACGGCGGGTTTTCGAATCTGTCCCCAGTCTCGTTTCCAAAGTGAGAATTACTGGGCGTGGTGGGCTCACAGCAAATCGATTTAATACCGATCACGTGCTTAGGCTCGGTCTTATATCTGCCCACAATAGCAGGATGGGATGCCTGCAATTTCGAGAATCCGCACGATTTCCAACCTAGTGTTATAGACAGGTGGCTCGTGTCGGCGGTGTGTGCTGCTGCTGGAATAGAGTCTATTATAGACGATTGGACTTGAGATGAGCGGGATTTGTGTATCCCAAGACCGTGCCACACAACGTCCCAGTGGGTACATCACCCGGGACGTAATGTCCAGGTCATCCCAATATCCCGCAAACTAGATCGCTGATTGGTCCGTCCCTCTTTTGGGACGATATAAGACTGAGCCTTAAAGCTTACTTTAACCAAGACTAAGTACTTCGCGGCATCTATGCTACTGCCAGGTACCGGCTCAAAAAAGTCCAATTCCCACTCAATTCCCAGCAGGATTCCCTACAGGATTCCCTGGGAAAATGGGCAAGCACCTGGGAATATGCCATCCCTGGTATTGATGTACAGTGCATGCAGACCAGATGCACTGCGTACGCAGTGTACACTATTAATACACTGGTCATTACAGGTATTTAAAAGAGTGTAGCACAGCGCAATCGTGAGCGTTTTAATGTTATTGGCACGACTGTGAGTCTAGTTTTTACCGGTATTAGATTTAAACGAAAACACCCTCATGAGTTACAGTAACAAAACGTTTTTAGCCAAGAACACGACCACGCCTTAAATCCGTGGCAATAGCCGATCAGCTAAAGTGGGTGCTGATCGATACTGTACTTGCGTTTCCCCTCGTACTACAATTCGTACATGCACTGTATGCTACAGTCAGATCAAAAAAAGGCCATCATTCTGCCGTATACTTCAAGTACGTAATATTAAAACTGATCCGGTATCACCTTGTTGCAAACGATAGACGATTATCGTACATATTATGTACTTGGTATACGGTGAGGGCCATTGAGCCAGAAGGCTGAGGGGAATCAAGGCGATAATGTTATTGTTCACGTGCTAAGGAAATCTATGGAGTTCGAGGCTACGTGTGAAAACAATGCGAAAGACCACACCCAAAAATTACGTACTACATAAAGTTGCTAACCATTTTAGAAATGGCCTATATATAATCATGTCCAAATTTAGAAACTAAGATGCTACTACTTCTCTAACATATTAGCTACACATACAACACAGTAACAAAAAGTTAGCTAAACAGATATTTTTAATAGTACAGTCTGCGAACACTGGTTGCCACGACGTAACAGCACCTCATTCTTCATGTAAATAGTTTGGTTACAATAAGGCTGCTATAGAAATCTCGCTTCAAACGGTGGATGAAACCGTTTAAAACTGCTAGGGCAACGACACAGATATCATTTTAAAACAAAGCATCTGGACTTTGACAATAGGTGCTAGTTAAAATGAACTTGTAGTACAATGCTTTGTGTCTTGAGAAGAAAATGTCGTCCATATCACTGTGTGTAAAGGGGGGGGGGGGTCAGCCATAATTATAGGGAAACGCTACTACTTGCTTAAAACAAATTAAGTCGGAGTAATTGCACGCACACAGATGACTGCAGTGATGTTGCTAACATGCCGTACGATTAGCTTAATCTTGGTGAAGATGTTCCCTTTAACCTCCGTACGTTCCAGTATAACATACAGTCTAGATTCTTCGCTACATGCGTTTTAGGATTTAAATCATTAACTACGTCAACTTCATGTCTTGGATATTAGGCTAATTGACGTTAAGTGCATTGTTTGTGCGTGTTGCTCATCGTATAGGTAAAACCATTTTGAGTAGATTGCGACAAACAAAATATCAAGTAGCGAACCTCAACATTGAGGTACAAACCAGTAAGCACCATAGTCAGTAGTCATCTTCTTAAGTGCGACGACACATTTGTCCGTGCAACGCACTTGGCAAATGGCAACGATATCTCATCGGGTACTGAACCTCTATGACTTATGCATAATAAAAAAATATTTTAAAAATTCGGAGCGTATTAGCTTAAGCAGAAGAACGCCAGGTTGGTGGGGTTATGCAGTGCTCGTTTCGGTATCAACCGATTAAATGAAGTAAAATAGAACATAGCTCGAAGATAAAACGTGAACGTTGCCTCGAAGGCTTATATTATCTATTTGTTACAAATAAGCATATTAAAATGAAAGTCGATAAGACAGATCGGTGTAATGCTCAAGTATCTAAAGTACAAAGGTGTGTACTCGACTCAGTCGAGTACACACCTTTAGAGTCGAGTCGACTCTAACAGCACCTACATTTTTGTATCTGGTGTTTAATATTTTTAAAGTATCTTAACACCACAAACAGCTAGTTATGGTACAGTAGAAATGCGAGCATGTCTGCGGAGTACGCTATTTCTGACTGGCCTGGCATTTTTGGTTGTTTGCTACTTTTCCACTGGTATAGATTTTGAATTTAATTTTTTAGACTGCCATTTCTAAAATAGCTCTCCTAAAAAAAATGTTGTTTTTGCACGTCGCATTTTTTGGGTGTGACCTTTCGCATGGTTTTCACACCTCGCTCTTACTACCGGTATTGTATCCCGATCTCCCTATTTTTTTAAAGCATTTAAATCCAGCGTCAAATAGCATAGGACCCACGTAGCTGAAAGTAAATAGTCTAACTGAAGCGCTTCTTTCTGACGTACTGGAAGGTGTAGGCACCCCAATCGATGGTGCACTTGGTGGGCGCGCGTCAATCCAATCGTTTCATGACCTGCTTTGCGTGAGGCTAATACGTGTCCAACTCACCATACATGACATTAATGCAACAGAAACTTTCTCATTTAATGCTGCACTGCAGCATTAAAAGAACTGGGCTGCAGCCCAGCTCTCTCAATCTGTCTCATGCTCTTTCAGTGGCCTTTATTAGAGATTTTCTATTTTATAACCTCCATTGGGCACCGATCAATACTTCATAAAATGAAGTGTAGCTTTCTACTCTCTTTCGGTTTTTGATCGCGACTGCGCGCATTTACTCGGGAGGTCCAGCGAGTGGGCGATACGCTGAGTTACATTCACCTGCTTGAAGATGTTATCCTTCACCTCTCGATGACTATGACGATCATCTTAAAGTTGATGCTTGAAATTCTAAAAGTGGCCCGAGTTCCATTCTCAATTTGTTTACGATATGACAACTGCTTTCAAGTATTAAACAGTCCTAGCAAAGCTCATGATCTACAACTGACACGGGATAATCTGGCTAGTTACATGGAAAGTTCGTGGTATCCATTTTGAATGAGCGCCAAGTTGGCGCCTCATGGCCTCGGTCGAGTCGCTTTCATTTCGCAATTCGTTCCTCAAACACCAGGACTATTTCTACAGAACTCAGCAGAAGTCCCTTGCGATGATGCGTCTCTTTTCAGTCGTATTGCTGGTTGTTGCCGCATTTCTAGCGTGCGCCGCAGAGGATACAACCTCGATGAGGTTCACCCGCGGTTATCTTGATGAGAAAGACAGTGCTCCGGTTCAAAGGCTCTTGAGGGCCTACGACAACGGGAATGACGAAGAGAGAGCTCCTATTGGTAACGCCTTGAATTCTATTGTGACCAGTACATCGAAGGCTGTCGACTCCGCTAAGCTGAAAGTGTTTTTGCTTAAGAAAAGTAGTGGAGTCGACGTTTTGAACAGCTTAAAGTTCGGGGACGATGCGGCAGCTGCTTTGAAAAATTCTAAAATGAAGACTTTGAATACGTACGTCACGAAGTTTAACAAGAAGAATCCGGACAAGGCAATCTCACTGGTCGGGACCCTCACGACCCGCTACGGAGACGATGCTTTGGCGAGAGCGTTAGTAAAGGTTCAAACGCAGGGACAGTCTTCAGCTGAGGTGGTGACGCTGGCAAAGAAGCTGCGAGCTGAACAACTGAGTGCTTGGGTGGACGGTGGTAAATCCGTCGATACAGTTTTCTCTTTGCTCAAGCTTCGTGAAGACGGGCATATGGCGCTCACAAGTCGAAAGTTGGAAGTACTGGATGATTACATTGTGAAGATCAACAGCGAGAAAAACGGCCAGGAAACTTTGCTCAAGACCTTGACGAAGGGGTTTGGCGGTGAGAGCAATTTGAGAAGAATTCTTGACGGAGCACAATACAACGCCTTTACACATGCGAAGGCCGTCGAGCTAAAGAAGCTTAAACAATGGCAAGGCGAAAATCTGGATCCAGCAAGTGTCATGAAGCTGCTAAATCTTGATAACGATGTGGGTAAGGCTTTGAAAAGCACAGAACTGAGAAGGCTTGATGAGTATATCATCAATTTCAACCTCAAGAACGGAAACAATCAGGCGACGCTGCTCGGGACGCTCACGAAGAAGTACGGTGACTCTGATGTGGCAAAGGCGATTGTGTCTGCAGTTAAGGATGACAATATGCTCGCTAAACGTTTGCAGAACCAACAGCTTGAGGGCTGGTTGAAAAAGGACATGTCCGTGGACCAAGTTTTCAACGTTCTAGATTTTAAGAGCGCTGGTATTGGAGCTGTTATCAGCCGAAACGTGGACACTTTGGACAAGTACGTCATGCTATACAACAGAAAGACATCAGCAGACGAAACCTTGGTAGCATCTTGCGTTTTTATTCTCTTCAGCTTAAGCTTATCACTAAATTTACCATTTTTATAGTAAATTAAAATTGGAAATTTATGCATTGCGTAAACATACCTTAAGTATACTAAAACAAAAGGTACAGGTGTCGAAACAGTTTTCTACCGGTTTCCCATGGAAACAACACATACGGTCACCGGCTGATTTTTCACCGATCTAGCGGTTTTTTTTTACAAAAGCCAAATCAATTCCAGTAGCATACAAACAACAAGAAATTTAACCCCAATAAAAACGCACACTATGGTCACAGCACATGCATGAAGGGCACTGTGCTGGCGTTGCCGAACAGACCGCGCTACAGCTGCGACGTACCTTAAAAAAGTCTAAAACAAAAATCCTCAAGTATGAGGCGACGCAGAGCGCGTCACTGGACTACAAGCGTAGGTCGCTTCTTAGAGTAGGTGTCATTAGAGCAGACTTACACTTAAATAGCACTAGCAAATTGAGCAATCAAAAGAGATACGTAAACACAGTGAGTGCGCTTCGACAGTGATCATAGTAAACTCCGTATGTTTTCGCAAGCGTCCGCACGTGACACGCAGGCTGAAGTCGCTACCCCATAGGCTGAAGTTGCAGTCCAGCAGCACAGTAGTCCGTCCAACAAAGAGCACATCACAGTTGGCACCGCCCATCATCCATCGTAGTAGCCTTCGCATTCGTAGTCGTAGTCTAGATGTTCAGCGCCCGCTGTCAGCACAGATGAAGCGCTTGTTGGGTCGTAGTACAACCTCGCAAGCCAGGTACAACATGCCCGGCCTTTTCAGCACACCAGTAAACTTAAACATCCGGTTGCTGTAACGCTTAGCCATCGCGGTCGCTTTGCCTTTTCTCATTTGTTCTAGTCCTTCACTGTGTGACAGAGTTCAGTCTCTCTCTAATCCGTTCGCACTGCAGCATTAGCAGTCATAGTGGGAGACATAGTCTCCGCAGTAGCCGCAGCAACAGCAGCCGTAGTATCGTCCGAGGAGACACCTCCATCGCATGACGAAAGCGAGTGAGCTTCACCAGCGCAAGTGGCTTGGTCGTGATGTCCGCGATCATCCGTTCGGTCTCAGTGTGCTGTGTGGTGAGCAGCTTAAGCTCCACGTTTAGTCTCAGCATATTGTTCTTATTGTTGATGTGCTTAGGCTTGAAGTGCTTTATATGCTTGGTGGACAGCGGGATTGCCCCCTCATTGGCACCCAGCCATAATGACACTGAACGCTCCCCGGACAGCTCTTTACACAGATCCGCAAGCCACAACAGGCTTTAACCAGCGAAACATACTCCGTTTCGCACGTACTCAGCGATTTGATCTCCTGCTTTCTCGACACGTATGATATCAAATTACCGTCAAGCGTGTTCACATAGCCACTTCTACTTCGTCCGTTCATCATTCGCACAATCCGCATCTGAGTAGCATCGTACATTGGAACTAGTTTCTTCAGGTACGCCGATCACCGATCTGTAACCACACGTCGCATTTCGATACCAAAGTATCCGCTTAGCTTGCGCGTAGCGTATGGGGTCGTAAGACGCCAAAAACCTACCAGTATGTCTCGTGGTATAAGCAATGTCAGACCTCGAAGCGACTGAAGCGCGCCAGCACACGGTACGGCATATGTTCCTTCATCGCAGGTACAGTGGCCTAAGCCAAAACAGTTGCCTCAGGAGTTGCACCTCCGTGGCAATCCGACATCTGGAGTGCTTCAAGACTTCCACCACATATTTATTTTGACAGTAGACAATCTGTCCATTTGGTCTGTTGATCAGGATCTCGACACCAAACCGGTACTCGACGGTACCCATCGTATTCACCTCGAAGGATTCTTGTAGTGTAGCTGCAATTATGACGCACAGGTCTTGGGGTCCCATTAGCAGTAGGTCATCCACGTAGACAGTCAACAGCAGTCCTCCCCCTTCAACGCATACAGTCCATAGTCTATGTCTATACGTCTGTACGCTCAAAGCCCAGTGTAACCAGCTTCGCATGTAGAGCTCGGTTTCAAACATTGAACGCCTGTTTCAGTCCATACCGGATCTTTAAGCGCTCGCATATAGTGCTCGGTCCATTAGCTTGGAGCCCGGTCGGCCGCTCCATGTTGTTATCTCGTCGAAATCTCCGTACAGAACCGCCGTCTTCACGTCGTACTGGGGTATCTCTTTGCTGCACAGCGAAGTAGATGACCGCACGAATATTCTCGAAGCGAATCACGGGTACTTGTGTTTCCCTGTAGTTGATGCCAAACTGTTGCTTGATTCTGTGAATGACGAAGCGAGTCTCGAACCGCTTGACGCGTCTACGCGGCTTCTCCGGCAGCACGTGTAACGTTTCCAGGTACGCCGTAGGTCCCATCCACTGCGAGCTCCACGTGAAAACGGAAAATTTAACTCTGTGTAGTCTTGACCCGACAGGTCGATTTTCTAGAAATTTGTAGCCCATCGTAGAGTGACTGTAATTGAGCAATATACATATTTGTGCCCATGGCTCAAGCTTCTTCTTTCTCTGTCTTGACTCAGGTAGTACTCGCACATGCGGAATGCAGTCCTAGGACCACATGATACTCGGGGCGGCTTCCGTCCGTACAGCTTCTCATACGACAAGGCCATTCCCAGCATTTTTGTCGAAAAATACTTAGTGTAGTCACCAGGTGCAACAGGGCTTCACCCCGCAGCATGTTCAGTAGATGTGGCGTTCTTAGTAATGCTCACACGCAAGCCAACACACTCTGTCTGCAATCCCGCTCTCTTGGGGGGCGTACGCGTTCGTGAACTGCTGTAAGATACCATGCTTGACGCAATGCTCATGTAGTTCGGTTCCAGAAAATTCACTGCATTGGTCCGATCGAAGATGCAACATCTTGTAGCCTTTGTGATGCGCCTCCAGCACCTTTAGTAGCTTCAAAATATACTACGTAGCTTGCCTCTTCTTCTCGAGTAAGTAGACCCACTTAAATCTCGTAGCAACATGCATAGTGAACATGAACATAGTAGCTTTGTTTACCGTCTTTACATTCATCGTACATATATCCACAGCTAGAATCATAAGTTGTTTAGTCGAGCGGCAGGTCATGGCTTTGCTCACAACACAGGTAATTAATTCGTAGGTGCTCAGATCTTTCGTGCTGACGTTTACCCCCAAACCCATCTTATCTGCTATTACCTGGAGCAAGGCCATGTACCTATCGCCAAAGGGTGCAGCCGCGCCATAGTCTTATCGTCTTCCACAGCTTGCTTAGCCATAGCCATGAATATTACTCCGGCCCGCCTTCTCACTTCGCAGCCGGTAGATACGTCCCGCATGTTGAATGTTAGCATACTGCCTGGTTTCGACATCCACGCCGTCTTCTGATCCACTGAGCACTTCAGCTTGTAGTTGCCTGTAGTGTGAAGGTATTCCATGCTAATCAAGTTGACCTTGACACTCGGTCTGTAAACTAAGTATTCAAGTATTGTAAAAGACGGGTCCAATGCTACACTGGTAAAAAGTTCAATTCTAGTAGCAATTAGATAGAGGCGTGCGCACTTCTTACACCCGTACAAACGTTTGTCCACTGCGCACCAACAATCTCGCTTTCTCGCCAAAATGACACCCGCCCCCATTGTGCAAATGACACGGCGCCCAAAGAACAAAAACAAAGCCAAGCTTCGAGGTCTTTTACGCCTCGGAGAGGCCAGCTCAGTCGTCGACTTGGCTGCTGAGCTAGACGTCTACCGAACAGCAATGTACCGGTCGATGCGGCAAAAAATGCCCTTGCCAGTGCCGCACCAAACAAGTACTACGCCTCAGTACCAAGACGCCAAAACCTTTACGCTAAACACACGAATCTCGAGCCAAGGTATTTTATTTATACATTAAATTCGGAATACTAGTAGTTGTTCTAATAGTGTATGATTATAACTTTTGTCGTGGATTACAAAAATGCGCAAAAATCAATCTCTCTACGTTTCGATGCAATGTCTGGTTCTAATGCATTCTAGCTTTGATGGAGAACTCTTTGCGAGTCGTCCCCGCGGTGCAAATATCGAGGTTTTGCGCCGCTTTCTCAAACGTAACAGGCTTTCTACCAGACGCATTACTCATAGGGACCGCAAGATAAGATCCGACATGGAGGTAATGCTAGTAATACTGTTTATTTTTTAGCTTCTATTTCTTGTTTTGTGTTTCAGCTTGTTGCTTCAAAATTTAGCCACTCAATTCAGTACGCAATTGAAGAGTGTGGAGCTCTTTCATATGCCACGGGCCCGTCCAAATACGGCTCTGTGTTCAACACGGATCAAACTGCAATTCACATTTACATGAATGGCAAGACAACGATCGACTTCGTTGGAACTCCAACTGTGGACGTCAGACAAGGTATTTTTTTTAACTTACTAAAAATATTTAAACTTATTAATATTTTTACTAGCTGTGCGTATTGTAGGAAGTGAGGTGAATGGGTTTCGCTGTTCTGTATTTTTAGCTGCATCAGCCATGGTAGTTAAATTGCCCCCCCCCCCCTCGTAGGTTTTGCGGGCATTCCTGACAGTCCGGTGTCGCAGGACGTTTGGAATCCGTCCTTTGGACACTCATCATGCGAACACACTGTCCAAAAGAAAGTATTTTGCAACGAAGTTGTGATGCAAGGGTGGATTCAATGCGTACCTACAATATCGGTTAATTTTATTGTAAATATGAATTTTTAAATTGTTATTGTGCTAGATCTGGAAACCCTCAGTAGATGGCTGTAGTTTACTCCTGTTGGACAGCTTAAAAGTTCACAAGATGGATTCAGCTCGTACCGTACTCGAAGAAGACTGCTGCACGCAGGTTGAATTTTGTTTTTTCGCCGGGGATAACAGGGCTGGCGCAGCCGATAGACGTTGCTGTGATAAAGTCATTCAAGGACTATGTGCGGTAAGTTCTCGTTTTGCTTTATTATAAATATTTTCTAACTGTTATAATAATACAGAAATAGCTACTTGGTTTACCACATTGATCATGAGTTCCCAAAGACCCTTCAAGAGAAGCGTCAACTTATTTCGCGCTTTGTAGCAAA